CGTGGTTTTAGACTCGGGACTATCGTTTGTGCAACATGCATCCGATATTTCTGAAAGAGCGAGCAAGGGATTCGGCAAGATGTCTCGCGTATCTACATCATCATGGGGTGTACGATATCAGAGTTTAAAATTAATTTATAGAGGAGTGTTTGTGTCCACGCTTACGTATGCGGCAGAGTGCTGGTACGAGCGTGCAAACATGTACACGTACACGTTCATAGCGTACTACTGAGATCGCAGCGATCCGCTCTTGTATTGTTAACCAAGGCGTACCGATCCACTAGCACGGCGGCCTTACCGGTGCTGGCTGGCGTTCTCCCTGCTGACCTAGAGGTCATCCGTGCTGGCAAGATGGGTATAGCACATTTGACTGCGCCCAAAGAGGAGTTGAGCAGACGGAATCGCGATATCTGGACTGAGGTGATTGGCGCCTGGCAGGATAGATGGACGTGTGATACAAAAGGACGTGAGCTACATCGATTTTTCCCGGATGTGGCGTTGAGACTCAGTTATACCTGGGTCTCACCGGACTACCAAACCTCTCAGATTCTAACCGGACATGGATGCTTTCGGAAGAGACTGAGCGACATGAAACTGTGTGAAATTAGTATGTGTGAGTGCGGTATGTCGGAGGAGGATGTTCACCATGTTCTATGGGAATGTTCTCTGTATGATGACCTAAGAGTGAAAATGATGGATGGACTAGTTCGTCCGGTTCAGGGACCAGTTTACTACTCGGATCTCGTCAGCGATGTGGTAAACTACGGACTGTTGCGCGAGTTTGCGCATAGGTGGCACGATCGCAGGACAAGGCAGGATGGAAGGCTGGTAGGAGCGCCCGACGACGTAGGCGTCAATGTGTCGTCAGCCCCAGAAGGGGGAGAATGACGTTAAACTGGGACATGGAACAGATTAAATATTTGTAGGGAGTCAAGAAAGTGTGCGCGGGAAAGAACCACGTGCAAGTACCGCGCGCATCTCCCGAGATTCGGCCCGTATGACCTGAGGGTCGGTGGGGCCATGGGAGGTGGAGGGTTGTTCTCGTCTCTGAGCCGGGGCACCCCAGTGCCAGCTCCTTCCACTTGACCGCATCCAGCGCAGAGCGGTTCGAATCGTCGACGACCGAGTTCTTTCTGATCGGCTCGATACACTGGCACTGCGTAGAGATGTTGCATCTCTTTGCGTATTTTATCGCATTTACCACGGGGAGTGCTCTGACGAATTGTTCGGACTAATTCCAGCCGCTCAATTTCATCATCGCACATCGCGACAAAACTTGCGATACCATCCATACCACCTTGATGTTTGGCGGTCCACCACTGTGCGATTTAGAAGAAGTTTTCTTCCTCGCACAACTTCCTTGTGGAATCGATTACCACCAGCGATTTTTCCGGACCGATACGACTTAAGGACCTTCAAGAAAAGAGCCTACTCCTTTTTAAAACGCCGGCAACGCATCTGCAATTGCCCTGGTATTGCGGTTGTTCATGGGCGGCGGTAGTCACTTATCATCAGTTGAGCCGCATGCTCGTTTGCCTCCCCTGCTATAAAAAAAAACTTCCTACTTTGCCAATTACTCAGTAACTTCCGCCTCGTTAAGTTCTCAGTAACCTCTACTCGCCAAGTACTTATGAAATCCTTCTCGCGAAGAACTTTTATCTTTTATCTTTTTTTTAATCTTTTTTTTGTAAAAAAACGGTACACCCAAACTAGGATTTTCTCCTGTATCGTGGAGGCAGTTTACAAACATACATTGCACGAGGACAAACTCATCAACTCCTCGCCAAAAATCATTAATCCCTAGCCAAGGACTAGCAACTCTTTTTTCGCCAAGTACTTCGTAATTTTCTTCTCACCGATTACTTAACTCCCGCCTCGTATGTTGTGTATTCAGCACTTCTCGCGTCGCCACTACTCACCAACTGTGGCTAAATTGGTCAAGTAACTACTTCTTGACTCCGAGCTACCAGGAATTTCTCAATAAAAAAACTCAATACCCAATCTTAATTGGTATTTATCTTACGATTAGCAGTCGCGTCCACTAGTATCTAGTGGACGTACATATGGCATGGCAGCCATGATACAGTTACATTTCCATATTCAGATCGCGCACGGCGCGAACCCGTTCCTGAAGAACCAGGAGGGGCAACCCTCCACCTCCCATGGCCCCACCAACCTCACGGTTATACGGGCCGAATCTCGAGAGATGCACGCGGTACTTGCTCTGGGCTCTTTCCCGCGTGCACTTTCTTGACTCTCTACAAGTTATTTAATCTGATCCTTGTCCCATAGTGTCACTCTCCCTTTCTGGGCTGGACGTACACATCACGGCTTCGGTTCCGGGCTGGTCTTCGGCTACTTTTACGTTTCTTCCTTCCATTGCCGTCCTTCTTGCGTGCCATCCATGCGCAAACTCGCGCAGCCGGCCAAAGTTCACCCCACCGTCCACAAGTTCCGGGTAGAACACGGGACCTTTCCTTTCGCGTACAATTGTGTACGTGTCTCCACCCTACTAGTAGTGTAAGAAATACATGTACTCTTAAGTTTATTGAACAGTATAATTAAAGAATTAGTCTCGGCAACACGTCTTCTCTTTCATTAACACCTGCCGACATCACATGGCGACCCTGCCAGGCGGTGCGCTGCGACAATGCATGCGCACCGCCGAGGCCTACTACATAAAAAAAAGATAAATAAAAATATTGTAACAAATTTAAATTAAATAATGAAGTGAAATGACAGATAAAAGAAATGTTATAACGGAATGGACGCAATACCGGATGTGACGAAAAATTAATAAATATGAATACAAGAAGAGGCCACAATAATAATTGACTGAAAATTTAAAAACTATAACGTATATGAAGCAATATAATATATTTATCTTTAATATAACTATGAAGGCAACTAAGAAATAATAATAAGAATAAAAAGTGATTTCTTAAATAATGACCAAAGACCAAAACTCAAGAAACAGCAAATTAATTTAATAAGGAAAGGAGCAGTTGTACCTTAGCGAGCTTTGTCCAGTAAGATATGAAAATTAAACCGAAAAGGAAAAAGAAGATATAAGAGGTAACATCGCATCAGCGTAATTTTTAACATTTGATTTTAATAATGTTTTATTATGTTTTATATTAAATAAATAAGTGATGCATTAAATATTAAATGTACGGTATTTACAAGTAACTTGAATTTAACATTTTATAATATTTATAATATTTTAGTAGGTATTGTATTAAAAAAAAATACAATATATTAAATTACATTTTACAATAACAAGATTCGTATTAAAGTAAATATATTTTTAAATTCAGCCCAATTTTTTTTCCGCGATAAATTTTATTTAAATGTAAGTATACAATTTTGAAAAGGGTTTTATAAAAAAATCGCTTATTTTTCTTCTTTTCTAAAGGCATGAAAACCTTTAAGTAACTATATAAATAAATACATAACCTTTAATAAATGACCTTAAAGTTAATATAAACTGCTTAAAAATCAAAATTGGAAATAACTTAATGTTTTGTTTAATATAAATTTAGCTGTAATAGTGATTACAAATTATTTTCTGTAGGTTATACGGTTTCTTAAATTTCTAGAAATCCTAAATGTTTATATGTAAATTAAATGTATAACTAATACTAATATATTTTTCGTTATAATTAAAACTAATAGCGATGCGATGTAATTATACTATAAACTTCTGTGTCAGAAAATATTTAAAAGTATCATTTTAATGTGATAAGAAAAATAATCATTAAAAGAGGTTTAAATAATAATGTTTCTTAACAAAGTTAAATATGGAGATGAAAAGTTGACATATATTACCTCATTTTTTTGTACAATATTAAAAAGTATATATTTAAAAGGCGTGAGGAATGAGAGAAGGAATGTTCAAATGTGTGGATACGAATGATTGAATTGCTAAGTTTCGTCAATATTGGACTGATCACCCAAATATTTGATGATGCTTAAAATCCTGGTATTGAAACCATTATGAGCGAGAATTATGAAAGTTAGTAATGGAAATGGAGTATGAAAGTATATAAGAGTTACCGATACAGTCAAGTAGATAACAGCAGGTACTATAAAGATAAAGAAAGAAATAAAAATTTACGAAGACAATCAAAATAAAATAAAAGATAACCTTGATAAATAAATCATGGAGAGATACGGGAACGTCCATCACTGGTAAAGCATATAGTCCTCGAGCAGGGTATGTTTCCATGATTGGATGATAAAATCGGAAGTAACGGGTACTAGGGAACAATACCTTCAGTACAAATGCGATGTGAACGAGTTTACTCATATTAGTACTGTTGGGGACCAGAGAAGTCTTAAATTTGTTACCCTTAACAATAGTACATAGGGGTCACATCCTTCATTGGATCATAGTGTGAACTTAGTTTTCCTCCGTGACAATTGTTGGAGTCCTTTTAAAATGACTTAAAAGTTGACCTCAAGGTTGTGCGCACAACCCAAGGTACAGTTTTACCTTGATATAGTATGTGTAATGTACTGTAGATCCCAGGGATCAATATTTAGAAAGAACAAGTAACACTATTGTAAGTAGTATATATTACAAGTAACACTATTATTATACACTGATATCGGCTCGTAGTAAGCGTCCACGTCTTCTCCCTGCGGCGGTCGGTCGGGCAGTGCCGCCCCGCCCCGCGATCCCGCGCGTGCGCTTCTCGAGACGACAGAGTTATACACCACTATAAATGTCTATACGCTACATCCCTCCCTTATTAATGTTTTGTTTTAATATAAATATATATACAAATATAAATAACCATATAGAGTTAAGGAACTGTGATCAGCTTAACTTACAAATAAAATACATTCATAATTACCTATTCGTATAGTAGTTTAATGAATTATTTTTTTTTCTTTTTACATAAGTAAGTATATCAAGTACAATCAGCAAGTTCTTATTCAAATTATGTTCAATCACTGATCATCAATTATTTTGTCATTATCGTCCATAATTTTATTCACTCGAGTTGTGATTGATTTACGTCACCATTATCGTTAGTTTGAGTACCACTAGCATTATTTTCATCATCTAGTACCTTCCATTGCCCTTCCACTCGTTTTAGATGTACGACGTTCCGTCTGATTTGCTGACCGGTTTCATCGTTCCGAAGAATTACGTCCCCTCCTTTGTTCGCTTCGACGGTATGTGTTTCGGGTTCATAGTTTAAGCTCAGCTTGTTTTGTTTAGTCATGTTCTTGACGTATACTTTATCTCCGACTTCCAATTCACAGTTAGTAGCCCCTCTCTTCCTGTCCGCATATTCCTTCCCTTTTTCCTTTAGTTCTTTATCTCTATCCCTCATTTCAAGACCCTCTGAGAGATGCGTTATGTCTTGGAGCATAGGCAGTTTGTCTCGAAATTGCCGTCGAAAGAACAGTTCTGCAGGTGTTTTTCCTGTAACTGTGTGAGGTGTACTATTGTACATCACCATGTACTCCTGGAGAGCCTCCTTCCAGTTCTTTTTCTCTACTTGAGAGATCTTGAGGCGTTTTAGGATGTCCCTATTCTGGCGCTCCACTTCTCCGTTTTGTTTCGGCCAGTAGGGAATGTTATTGTAGAGTCGTATGTTCCTCTCTGCGCAGAAGCTCTTAAAGTCTTCGCTGGAAAATTGTCTACCATTATCTGATGTGAGGGAGACTGGATTGCCAAGTCTGCTAAAAATTTCTTTAAGCATTTCAATTATTTCAGAGCTTGTTATGGTTCTGCATGTTTTCACTTCTTTATATCTGGTATAATAATCCACGACTACCAGGATATAGTCTCCACTAGGTAATGGGCCCATGAGGTCGATTGCTATGTCGACCCACGGTTCGGAAGGTAAATTTCTTCTTTTTAATGGGTTTGGGGCGCTGGGAGCAGAGACCAGGATGCATCCTTTACAGGCTTTGCATATGTTTTCAGCATCTTTGTCGCACTTAGGCCACCATACTTTGGTCCTCAATCTGCTCTTCATCGCGACTATCCCCGGGTGGCCTTCGTGCGCAGCTTCCAGAACTCTTTTGCGTAACTTGGTTGGGATTACAATTTTCGTCCCCCTGATGAGAATATCGCCATGAAAGCATAATTCATCCTGAAAAAGTTTATAGGTTTTTACCGTTTCCTCCCAGTTTCCGTTGTAAAGACCCTCTCTAACCTTCTGTATCTCTGCATCTCCAAGAGAACTCTCAGTGATCTCTTGTAATGGAATGGCTACTGGTCGTGCCAATTCGGTAATCGCTTGAACATGGTCTTCAAGTAATGTCGTCGGGTTTGTTTCCACTTCACAGAGTCTCGATAGTGGATCGGCTATATTGGTCTTCCCCGGACTATATTTCACCTTGAAATTGTAGGATTGCAACCTTAATACCCACCTTTCAATGCGAGCGCATGGTTTAGCTTTCGGGCCAAATATCACCTCCAAGGGCTTATGATCCGTTACTAGATCGAACATCTTACCGTACAGGAACATGTTGAAATGTTCGACTGCCCAAACCAGGGCTAAGGCCTCCTTCTCTGTTTGGCAGTAACGACGCTCACAGCTGCTGAGGGTTTTATTACCAAATGCAATTATTCTCGGCCCATTCTTGTTGATTTGCACCAACACTGCTCCCAGACCCACTGGGCTTGCATCTGCAATCACCACCGTCTTATCATGAGGATTGTAGTAACATAAATTTGGCACCTTCATAAGTGCCGCCTTGAGATCGTTAAATGCCTTCTTTTGGGCATCCCCCCAGTCATCTTGAATCACTGTGTTTCTTCCCGTTCTTTGCCGTAGCAGTTGCTTAAGGGGTTCTGTTATCGTTGCTAAGTGGGGGATCCATTTTCCCACGTAATTCACTAAACCCATAAAACTCTGCAGTTCAGCGATATTCGTCGGAGCTCTGAATCCCTTTATAGCCAAGATATACTTGTCTAGTGGTTTGACTCCCAGTTCTGATAGTTCATGCCCTAGGAAGTGGACTTTCTTCATTCTGTAAATGCATTTGTCTTCCCTCAACATCATGTTATTTTCCTCTAACACTGCCAAAACTTTTTTAAGCCTTAAGTCGTGTTCTAATAAGTCTTTCCCAAATATCAAGATGTCATCTATGAAGTTGATGACTCCTTCGCAACCTAAAAGGATTCGTTCCAGTGTTTTTTGGAAAATCTCTGGCGCACACGAGATACCAAACATCATTCTTTTGTATCGATACAATCCTTTGCTGGTAATGAAGGTCGTGATATGCCTTGAGTCTGTGTGAAGTTCGATATGATGAAATGCATCTCGTATGTCTAGCTTACTAAAGATTTTGGCTTCTCGAACTTTAGGCAACAGTTCTTCTATCGTTGGCAGTGGGTGGTTTTCACGTTGTATGGCCGTATTTGCTCGGCGCATATCCACACATAATCGGATATCACCCCCGTTTTTTAGCACAGGGACTATAGGCGAAATCCAGTTAGAAGGACCTTTCACGACTTCTATAATGTCCCTTTCTAGTAATTCTTTCAGTTTATTCTCTACTTTTTCTTCAAGTGGGATGGGAATTCTCCGATACGGCTGAGCAACGGGCTTCACTGAATCGTCAATCGGAATGGTAACTAAAACGCCTTTAAATTTTGGAAACGCCTCAGTTCCGACCTGGTTGATGTCCAAATTGATTCGAAGTAGTCCCAATGAGGTTGCCGTCACACGTCCAAGTAGGTCACGCGTACCGTTTCTGATCACGTAGAATGTTGTGACGTCCTGTGATGTTCCGGCAAGTTTTATCGTGGCTTTAAATGATCCTAACAGCTTCAGTGGTGTTGCACTCCCTTAAGCTATGAACGTTTTGTCAGGATTCGAATCTTGATTGGTAACTTGAGCGTTATTTTTCTTCATTCTTTCCCAGGTTTGGTCTGTTATAAGGTTGTGCTTGCAGCCTGAATCTATCAACATCTCCACGTTGGTTCCACCTATGTTACATGTGACCTTTGCGTCGTTCTCTATATTGAAAATGTAGTCGACTTTTCTCTCATCCGTGATTATGTTTGCAGTTTCCTCGATATTGTTTGTTGTCCTGCTTTTCTTCTTTAGTCCCTGACTGTTCGATGACTTTCTACAGGTTTCGTACTAAAGTTTCCTAATTGACGATCTATGGCTTCCAATGCATTCGCTTCCGCAATTATTTCATCTAAAGTGATCTTATCTCCTGTTTTTAATATCTTCTTTCGGAGTTCTTCTGCTTTACCCTTTTCCGTTATTTGGTCTATGATATGTTCGTCTTCTTTTCCACCAAACTGACATTTCTTTGCCTGCAGTCGAAGTCTGATAAGAAATTTCTCGAACTTTTCATCCTGTTCCTGTTTTATGAGACGAAACAGGTGTCGCTCATACACTTTACTCTGTTTAGGTGCAAAGTAGTTGTCTAATTTTTCGATCGCGATGTTAAAAAGTACGCCTTCAGTTGCATTAGCTCCTGGGATGTTATAGAAGACTTCTTGTAACTCGGGACCACCAAAATGTAAAAGGCTAGCTCTTTTCTTTGCCTCGGAGTCTATGCCTGCTGCTTCGAGGTAAATGTTTAGGCTTCTTTTCCATCTTTCCCAACGGACAGAGACTGAACCAACCTACCCGTCACATTCGAACTTCTCTAAGGTGTACAGTGCCATTTGGGGCTACCTGTTGACAAGGTAGTAACAATGTTGCATATTATAGATTTTATAACACGCTATTGCAATCTAATGCTAGTACTAAAGCGTCTACTGTACTTGACTGTACCTATGCTATAGGTACCTGTATCTACACCCGTAGTACACATTCAGCGCTCATGACGACACTTACTCGCCATACTGTGCAGTACTGTGGCACTGGCACGTGAGTATTACCCAGCGCGCAGCCGCCAAGCAGCGAATGGGTGCTCCAGTGTTAACATAAAATTTGAACCCGTGTAAACTTCGCAATTTAATGCTATGTAGGTATGTACGCAATTTAATGCTATGTAGGTATGTACGCAATTTAATGCTATGTATGTATGTACGCAATTTAATGCTATATAAGTATGTACGCAATTTAATGCTATGTAGGTATGTACGCAATTTAATGCTATGTAGGTATGTACGCAATTTAATGCTATGTAGGTATGTACGCAATTTAATGCTATGTATGTATGTACGCAATTTAATGCTATATAAGTATGTACGCAATTTAATGCTATGTATGTATGTACGCAATTTAATGCTATATAAGTATGTACGCAATTTAATGCTATGTAGGTATGTACGCAATTTAATGCTATGTAGGTATGTACGCAATTTAATGCTATACCGGTAATCTCCGCAATTTAATGCTTGTATTATCTATCTCATACCGCAATTAAATGCTCAGTCGCAATTGAATGCCCGGCTGCAATTTAATGAGGAAGGTAGGTTGACAAATATGTAGGTATGTCACTCCCCTGATGTACACCCATAGAAACCCAGATACCTAAAACGCGAACGGAGGATACCTACGCAACTCACGGCCAAGTGAGTACCTAGTTATTTCACTTTTCCTTCTATGTTCCTTAGTCAAAATGTTATATACAGTCAACATCAGTTAGTAATAATGATGATAACCTTAAATACACTTTTATTTTAAAGGAAAGTAACTAATTAATACTGTGGATCAATTCATTAACTTCAGAATATTGAAAGGTAAAAGAAAAATGCTTATTCTGTGCAACAAAACACACTGTAAAGATTAAAATTAGAATTACCCTAATTATTTGTCGTATTCAACACAGACACCTCAAGTACAATCTGTACTATTTATATTCTGTAGTCTGTGTTTTCAATGGCATGAAAACTTGTATTATCTATTATCAAAGCAACAATTAAGTTATTAACAATCTAAAACAACAAAACGCCGCATATAGGTAGTTTAAATAACCACTGTATTATTTTTCCAATCTCCTAATTATAATGACAATAAAGCCGTCCCATCTGCGTAGGAACAGGTCGTTGCTCAGCAAAATCGCTGTGACTTCGAACGAACCTATAGTAAACAGCAATACTTATAGTAACTATTACCTACCTACACTGATTAACGAAACTCGTGAGGTTCTGTAGTTAATTTTACCTAATAAAATCTTGTACAGCTATATGGGTTATAAATACTGAGACTCAAACTCAAGAAGGTAGGTAACATATAGGTTGCTCACATAATAATCACTTGATTAAAGCTTGGTAGTTTTATTCAACGATTGTAGTCGGATTTATGTATTTTGTAATGTAACGTATGTTTATCTCTTTTCTTTTATTATTAAAGGTAAAAATTCTTAAAATACTCACCGTTTATCTCGTCGCCACATGTAATGTACTGTAGATCCCAGGGATCAATATTTAGAAAGAACAAGTAACACTATTGTAAGTAGTATATATTACAAGTAACACTATTATTATACACTGATATCGGCTCGTAGTAAGCGTCCACGTCTTCTCCCTGCGGCGGTCGGTCGGGCAGTGCCGCCCCGCCCCGCGATCCCGCGCGTGCGCTTCTCGAGACGACAGAGTTATACACCACTATAAATGTCTATACGCTACAGTATGATAAAAAAAAATTATGTACCAATAAAATGAAACGAATGTTACGAAAAAGTAATATAATACCCAAGTAAATGGGGGGCCCATATTTATTAAGTACCCGCGTGATAAATATCACGAAATAAAATATAAATGAAGTGAATTAATACTCCGATTCCCGGTATCTAATTAATAAATAAATATTAAGGAGAGAGAATACTAAAAGAAATAAAGCTAGCTAAAGGTCAAAATATAAGAAAGAAATAAAGTACGTACAACAATTATGAAAAAATAATAGGCCTGACAATCAAAAAGGAATGTAATGAGATGTCCTTATCTATGGAGATGTGCAAGTATGAAAATAATTTACATGTAGGGACATGAGAACAATTAAAATGAGGTCATAATGGAATCCCCGCCAAAGCAAAAAAAAAAACAACCACAATAAAAAAAAATGATAAATACGTTTTCGCTTAGATATATTTTATATGAATTTGCAAAACTTTTTCATATTTTCAATAACTTTACCCTAAATTTCTCTTAGTTTTTTTTGGTTAATGTAAAATTTTTACAATTTTAAACGAAATTTTGTATATTAGTTACTAAAAAAAAAAGTCGAAAGTGTAGGTATCTACTCTATTATTTTAAGTTTCATAACAATAGTATTTTTTTATTATGGACAACGAAACATAAAATTATGTAATCTGCTTCAAAAAAAAATTGTCTCTTCTAATGTTAATAAATATTTTGTTTAAACAAACTTTAGGTATTTAATAGTGTATATTTTAAATTTCTGTCTCAATTAAGATAAAAATATTCCATAAAAGTCATAAAATAAAAAAGTAGTAATGTGTTTTCGACTATTATAAATAACTTAAATAATGAATACTTGATAATGTATGTAAACCTATTATCACAATGAAATGTTACTACCTAAACTGTGTAAATGATTATATTCACGATATCATTTTATTGTATTGTTGAAAGTAGGTACCATCATACGATGTAATCTCAAACGTTTCCATATAGGTACTTGTACTTTGGAATTTAAAACAAAGGTGTCACAATTCGCTTACGCGGCTGGGAGCACAACATGTATTTTGATCTGTCTGTTGTTATGTTAACGAAAATTATTAGGTACGTTGCTTTGCATTGACTTCTTTGTTCTGGATATCTAAATATGAAATGTAATCAATTATTTTCGGTATAATATTGATTGAACTTTCAAATCATAAACGTTTTATCTATTACAATTTATTATTTTCTGAGAAAATAGTAGAGTGATGAGAACTTATTTGTATGGATTATGAAAATAATTCCTTTATTTAATACGATTTTGAAACTCATTATACTATGTTTGCATATATTACTTTAAATTTTGTTGTGACCAAAATATTGTGAGCCTCAATCCCTGACTGACAATGATATATGTACCTAAATATTATACGAGACTATATTATGATATAAGTTTGTAATGCCTATAAAATAGTAAAAAAAATATATATTATATATTTATTATATTGCCCAATTATGTCAAATATGTATGTTGTATTTCAGCAATTGCAGAGCACAAGTTCTATGTTTTTAATTCGTTACCAATTATGGAGAATGGTATCATCGGTCGAAATCTTTTTAAAAAAATATAGATCAGTTTCGCATTTTGACTCGAATATTTTAATATTATATGACCATCTTGGTAGATCATAATAAAACCTATTTCAAACACTTGTAATAATTCCTTGGCAAGTTTTTTTTTCTTCTTTTATTTCACTAATGTGATAAGATGGGTTAAGATACTTAAAGTTATGTGTTGAATGGCAAGGATTGTAAGTATAATTTATTGAGAGATTTGACTGATAAAAATAAATTCAGTGAGTGTTTTATACACATTGGTTAGAGTAAATTGACATATTAACTTATTTCAGTAATGAAAATATGTTGGAATGTTAATAGGTAAAGCACAAGATCTGGTAGATAATTAGCTATTTCAGTGATAGTCGGGTGCGCAAACGAGTATTATGGAAATGCTAAGAATTCAATGAGAACTTTTCGTAGACATCAGGTTTTTAGAAAGGATAAAAAGTACATATAATATGATGTCAAGTTTATTGCAAAATGCATTATTATTGTTGCCCACCTATATACCTACATGATTATGTTAACATGTTGTTGTAATGTTGGTTAGTACCAAAAAACGACAGGTTTAATGACGTACGAAATAAAATCGCATGCGTATCCTGGATTGACTCGATAATATTA